TTTATTACACCGATATATCATCGACAGACGACCAATATTTCATCGACAGACGACCGACATGCTGCCGACAGCCGACCATTAGGTAGCGATCGATATGTCGACCGAGTGATCACCGCTAGTATCGATCGACACTCGATGGAGTGTCCGCGAAAGGTAAGATTCTATTCACCGACTATCGACCGAACGTCGACTGACATGTCGAACGAGTGTCGATTGACAAGTCGGTCGAGTGTCAACTACGCTCTATCGATATGCCGGTCGAGCGTCGATCGATACCAGCGATCGACACTCGACCGCGGGCGCCGTTAGTACACATGATCCGAAAGTACAACTATTAATCATATCGTGACCGGCATGCATCATTAATAGTCGTGTTTGACGAGCTTTTAGACTAATAATCGTGCATCGTACGGTTAATAATCGCATCTGACAGCAAATATCATTATTAATCCTACTCCTCTCCAGAGAAAGTTCAATCAGAAGTTTTTTGTGGACAGCCGCCATTACGACCAAAAATTCAGAATTTAGTATTTATTCGCACATGGCTTTTCAAGCACTAAATGTCACATATTTGAAGTCTTCTCGGGTTCAAGTTCCAAGCGAACTTCATTTCTGTTTAAAAAGTGTGTTTACCAACGAAGTTTTTCTTTTCTTCCGTCCTTCGACGAAGTTCAGCGCGGGCTTTCGATATCGTGAGAGAGTTGACCAACGTTTGTTCTCGATGAGAATGTAAGTAAATCGGTCTGTGTAAAACGCAGACTGTGGACTGCAGACCAGGGGTAAAATGCAGACTGAGGGTAAAATGCAGACTGCGGACTGCAGACCAGGGATAAAATGCAGACTGCAGACTGCAGACCAGGGTTAAAATGCGGAATGAGGGTAAAATAAAATTTTAATAATAAAAAACAAGACTTGGGAGTGTTCCTACCCGTACCCGTAATTATTTTTTTTTTTCAAAATACCGAAAACTCAAACCAAAAGGCGTTTATTCGCCTTATTTAAACATATTATCAACCTCGAGTTCTTGAACGCCCCATTTTGTTGAACCAAGTTTCCCAAAAGCGCCCAAACTCATCGTAACGCTATGCAATGCAATTTACCTTTGTTTACATGTCGGCCATTTTGAATTGTGCTTTCGCGAATAGGTCTGGGACCGAGTAACTCTTTCAGCTTCATATGGCCTTGGAATTGTTTGGAAGACAAGGCAAGCAAAACACGACAGCACAACAGCAAGGCAAGGTAAACTTATAGGTATCGAGCATAGTTTGTGAAAGACATTAACGTAAATTATCGAAAATTACCATGAGATCGTCGTACTCGTTTTCCGACATTTTATAGTGCCATGTGACTTGGGGACGACGTGACTTTTATACTGCGTGAAGCGGCCTTTGTGTGTTTCGAGAGTCCTGAAGTGACATTATTTTACGGGTACGAACACTCTTTATTTCATCCTTTGGACTGGTTTTTTTTTATTAATATTTTACCTTCAGTCTGCATTTTACCCCTGGTCTGCAGTCTGCAGTCTGCATTTTACCCTCAGTCTGTGTTTTACACTGACCGGTAAGTAAATACGTTAATTTCGGACAGGTTTTAGGTAGATTTAAGTTTAACCGAATACAGTTGCAAACAACCAGCTAAATGGGTCAAATTACGACAAACTTGAAACTTATGTCTAAATGAGCAAGCGACTGATGAAACCGGCGGCGGTGATCGATGTGATAAAATTATTTCAGGTGCGGATAACTTGCATCGCACTCCGCCAGTCCCGGCTTTACCTGAATTCTTTATTTTCAACCACGTGACAAAAATTTGCTACGTCATACGCGGCCGCCATGTTGGGGGATAACTAAGCTTTAAAAATGGCTTCTTCCGAAGGCGTGCCCAATGGGAATGTTTCGTTAATACAATGAATTATTAACTTGATTTCCTGATTGACTTTGATTGACACTAAGTTTCGCAATTAAGCCACTTGAATAAGTCTGCTTTCAGTTCAGATGTTTAGATTCGAAGTGACCATGTTTTGCTCACCTGTCGCGCTGACCCGTATTCTGTTATATTCTGATCTGTTATATCTGTTGCTGACCTGTATACCGTGAAACAATCCTACTAGACATCGCCACAGGAGTAAGTTATCAATGCTGCAATTCTAGCTAATAGTTTGACTCGTGTGTTTATGTATCGATAGATCCTGTTCAGTTTCTCGAATGTATTTAATTTCTTTTCTCTAGATCGAACAATAATATACTGGAATAAGTTATACGATTTGCGTAAGCTAGTTGGATTGCCTGTTCGGTTTATCGGACCAGTGAACCTTCAGTATTCGGATCACTTTGCGGGTGTAGAGGGTCCTACGAAGTCAAGGTACCACGAAAAAATAACTGTTTAAGGCTTCGACGATATGCGTTGAGAAAAAGTGATTTCTCCGAAAACATCGAGCTCCTTCTAAACGTTCAATATCCATATATTGTGAACTACTCACAAAAACCCAAATGAAGTTGTTGTGTTCGTCGGAGTTAGTCACGGTAGTGTATTTTTTCTGTTGATCTCGGAGAGAAGCAAACAGAGCAAAATAAAGGACTCATTTTTTATCGACCTCGGCTAACAACTCTTACTTTACTAGGTAATTTGGTTAATTCAACTAACACTATTGGATGAAAACCTGTGAAAAACCTATGAATTTTTCTGTGAAAAAACCTGTGAAATACCATTTTTCACATGTTTTTTCAAAGGTTTTCCACGGGTTTTTCACAGGGTGTGAAATTTTGAAAACCTGTGAACAGGGCACTTTTCGCAGGGTCAAAAACCTGTGAAAAAAATCTGTGTAAAAAACTGTGAAATAAAACCTGTGAAAAAACCTGTGAAAAAACCTGTGAAAAAACCTGTGAAAAAACCTGTGAAAAAGAATCTTGTTCTGAAGCTTTTTCACATGTTTTTTCACACGTTTCTTCACATGTTTTTTCACATGTTTTTTCACATGTTTTTTCACATGTTTTTTCACAGTTCTTAAAATTTACAGGTTTTTTCACAGGGTGTTTCTGTGTCAGATAATATTTCACACGTTGTTCACGGGTTTTTCACAGGTTTTTCACAGGTTCTCGTCCAATAGTGTAAGTTGAAATTGTAAATTGGCCACTGTTAAGTGTTAAAAAGCTGACGTTTTGAGCGTTAGCCCTTTGTGGGAGCGATCTAGTCGATCGTGACACGACAGCTGCAAGTTCAGAAGACATATCACTCATAGTACTCACATTAGCGAGTGATATGGCATATTTCAAGGATCTAAATTTTGGATTTAGAATTAAGACTTTTTGTGTACTCTCACTTGGTGAATCGCTCACAGAGAGCCCAGGACATCCCACTTTGAACATGGTTTCTGGCAGAAAAATATGGAACTGTAATTGCTTCCCATTGCTATTGCATAGCAGGGTTATGTGAAGGGTGGTCTCATGTTGGGGCAGAGCTTTTTGCTGTGGAGGCTGGTGTTAGAATTAGAGATTCTACCACATGCACACAGGAAAAGAACAAATGGCTTCTCTCTAGTCATATGAAAGAAATCCCCATTACCTATAAGTGAGATGGATTTTACCTCTGCCTGAAGGAAGCATGAATTGATGGTGGAGAAACACTGGTTAGTCCTATGGCTACTAGATCTAACCCTGGGATCTGAACAACCAGGACACCTGCCCCAACCCCAGAAGAGCAGAAAACTATTTTTAGAAGTATTTCTGGCTGTACAGTAAATCCAGCAGTCTTG